GCTGCTTGGCCTGCTGTGTTCATCCAGCTCCACACCTTGTTATCTCAATCCTTCTCATTTGGCAGTTCACCACTGCCGAGTGAGAAACTAGCCTTGCCACATGCATAAACAATATACCAAGTTGCTCCCGCTGTTGAGAAAGGCCTTGCTGGATTTCTCACGTGATTCTGCCACAAAACTTCCTATAGCCCACATTGTTCAGGCCCCTATAAGATTTCGCCCAATGTGGCTCAATTTCCTCTGCATCTCAGAATTCTTCAGTTGTTTTCATTTTCCATTTAAGTCCTACATTTTTATTCTTCCCGCTGTAGTACACAATTTCATATTTTCCCATATTTCACTCCAACTTTATTCAATTTTATTCCTTTTATGCATCTATCTATATGTTTCTACAATCTCCATGTCTCCCTTACAACATACAATACTACCTACCTTTATGTTATCTGCAAATTTAGCTACCATGTCTTCACTTCTCTCACCATTGATACAAATTATGAAAAGTTAAGCCCCCAGCACAGATTCCTAAGGGACTCCACTCATCACAGCTCACCTATCAGAAAGTGACCCATTTAGTCATACTCCTGTTTCCTATCAGCCAATCCTCTATCAACGATAATGTGTTACCATCTACAACATATGCTTCTATTTTGAACAATGCACATTGTGTGCATTTTGTCAAATGCTTTCTCAAAATCCAAGTATAGTATGTCAATGAGATCCCCCTTATCCACATTTTTTGCTACTCCTTAAAAGTATTCCAATAAATTGGTTAAACATGATTTCTCTCCCACGCTGACATTTCCCAATTATCTTGAATTTTTCTATGACTTCCTCAAATGATTGATTGTAACATCCTCCAGATGACAAATTAACTGGCCTAGTTTCTTCTCTTCTTAAACAGAGGAGGAGTTATATTTGCTAGTTTTCAGTCAAATGAAATATTTCCAGAATCTCATGAATTACACAAAATTAACACCAATGCATCTACTACCGCATCAGCCACCTCTCTCAGGCTTGAGAATGAAGTTTATCTGGACATGTCAATCTGCTGCTCCATCAGTTTACGTGGTACTACTTCCCTGGTAATTGTGCTTTCACCATATTCTGCATTCCCTTCCACCTCTTGATTTACAGCTATTACTGGGATGATTTTGTCTCCACTATAGTGAAGACAGGGGCAAAACAGGTGTTTATTTCATCTACCATTTCCTTGTTACCTAAGTTAACTCTCCTTCCACACACTCGAGTACTCTTTTGATTTAATCTTTCCCTTTTTAGATATCTGCAGAATGTCTTGTTATCCACTTTACATTTCGAGGTAGCTTCCTCTCACACTTTAATTTCTTTCTCCTGATTAACCTTTTGGTCATTTTCTGTCTTTCTGCATATTCAGACTATTCATCTGACCTGTCTCTCACCTTGGCACAATAAAATGCTATTTCCTAAAGTCTGATACTTTCCTTAGCAATTAATGCACCCACCCTTTCAAACTTTTCATCATACTTCTTTGGAGCATTCTGAAATATTCCCTTGAATGTATCTGTATTGATCTATACCCTAACCTAATTAGCCAATTTATTTCAGTTCTCTCAGATTTCATGTCCACAATACTGTCATTTAAGTTAAAAATCTTAATTGTAGACCCATTCTTTTCCCTTTCATGAGGGCTATAAGATTCAATTATATTGAGCTTGCTGCTGCCCAGAGTTGGCCAGATTCAATAGTTAATCTTGTGTCAATACCAAGTCCATTAAATTATGAATAATATTTAAAATTTAGATCAGTTAGCTCCATATAGATCAGTGAGTCTGGGACAGTGTTGTTGAGCACATGTGAAGGGGAATCATCCTCTCCTGATTTTCCCAGAGAAATATGTTGGGACTTTTAGTCTTGACATACATAAATAACCTTAGCAATAAGTTTAAAAAAAGACACAACTAATTTGCAGCTTTTAAACATAAGGTGGGTATCCACAAAACTACAAAGGACACTTCATTCCAAAACAGTGTATCTGTAATCTTTCATCTGATGGACAATCTCACAATGAAACAAGTTGCCAAAGAAATTATTTATATCCCCATCATTTGAAATATTCATCAGATTATTTCCATTTCAAAGTTTTCATTATCAGGACCATCATATCAGGAGGTCACACCTGTTTTAGGTAGTGCTCCCCATTTAATGTTAGCAGAATGTGGACATTCGTCTGCGATATTCATAAAACGAAAGATGAAAGAATATGGCTCAGCACGAGGCTACACAATATATTTACATCAGCCAAATGGTCTGCTCCTGCTCCTATTTTCTATGTTTCTGTGATTACACAATTGATCAGAGTAACCATAATAAGCCTTACCTTTCTTTCCACATTTTATATTATATTTATATACACATAGTCTGTGATAGATCTCTATACATATAAAACCCAATGCTATTCACATCAGGATAAGCCTGCATTGTTCTTATGGTTTTGAAAGTTCTTAACTCTGACACATCTAACCACAAACATCGTGTTACGGGGTTAATAGTGTAGTTACGTATTGCTGTTCACTGGCAATTCTATCCAATCTAAAAGAAGTAGAGCAATTCACATATGTTGCATAGAACAGGAAATATATAGCAGATATAAATATCATGGCATTTGTCGGGTTTGAAAATCTCTTGACTGTGAAGAATTATTCTCATCTTCAGTACCTGTAGTCATTCACTATTCAGATACTGTTCGATGATGTGACCTGATGAATTTCTTAGAAATAGGACTCCATTCAAGAAAAGCAATATCAGTTGAAATGAAATCTGTACAGAAAAGACTACACATTGTTCTTCTGCTGCTGGCTGTTTTTATTGCTCTTGCACGACCAGGTTTGTTCTCTTTTGTTAAAAAGTTTCCTAAACTAATTGTGCCTTTTAATATTTTTGCGAATCCCAAATTACTACGTACCACAATTCGTAGTTGTGTCTTCAGCTGTTTATGTCCTAAGCTCTAGATTTCACATTGTAAATCTCTCCACATCTTCACTTCTCCACCCTTCTCATCTGCACTAAAACACTCCTTAATACATATATGTTTGTGCAAGCTTTTGAAGACCTATGCTAAAATCACTTTATGAGGCTTGTGTGTCAAATTCTGATAACACACTTATGAATCATATTGAAATGTTATACTGAGCAAAGGGTACAACATAAATGCAATTGATTTGTTGTATCAAGGATTGTCGTTGTCTCTCTTACTCCATTGCCTTGTGTGAAGCTTGCGAAATATTAAATGTGAATTTAATCATATATCATTTGTTTCAAATCAATTGCTGGTTTCATGTTAATATTTGGAAAATTCCAAATGCTTCATATCAAACAAATGCCCTACTGGATTCTATTGATATTTGCATTTCCAGTGAGGTAAATAGCACCTGCCAGATTTCAGCTCAGTTTCATATTTTCATAAGTTGTGGGTGGCATCTCTAATGGATCCTTAAAGGAAAGTGTTACTTAGTTATAGAAAATGTTATCAATTTGGGGAATCCAGCAAGTATTGTTGAAGAGAAAGATTACAACAACTTTAAATATTTGCATTTATATAATGTTTTTAATGAAATAAAACTTCCAAACTGCTTCACAGCTGTGATATTAAAGATGATGTGATACCATCCTATGTCAGTGGATTATCGGGGAAGATGACCGAAAGTATGGTCAACAAGAGAGGTTTTAGTGAGCACCAAAAAGGAGGAATGCGAAATTAAGAGGCTGTGAGATATAGAGAAGGAATTATAAAGCTAGACGAAAAGTAAAATAACTTTCAAAAACGTTGATAAACTGGAGCGTTAAAACTAACAACCAAGCACTGAATTTAGTGATTATTATGACAAAATCGTAACTTAGTAAACGATGTTTTCCAGTATAATTTCTTGCATGTGATAAAGTAAGATACAATCAAACTGATAAAACGATTTGTGTCAATATTTTGTTTCATTCTACTAATTATTATAATTATTGGCAGTAGGAAATAACTATGGTGAGCAAAATCTGTATTTTTGAGGAATGAAATTTTACTTGCATTGGAAAGATGACATATTTTACTTTGATGACAAAAATGGATTTAAATAAGGCATAATTTCAGGGTCTTTAATCATACATATTAAACACAACAAAACAGCAGAGAGGTTGTCAATATCATTGATATGAAAAGTATTGAGTTCATTCTGTGGATGAAACTCTAACACCCTTTATTAACTACTTTTAGATCTCACATTGAAGGGACTATTGTGCAAGGATTTCACACTTGTACATAGTTTAAACATTCAAAACAGATGGCAAAATCAGGCTTTTACAAAATAAGCTAACATGCCACCTCAGGTTCTCATGCTAACCAATTTTCTGATAAAAAAAAATCCTGCAGTTTATGGATAAACTCATTTATTGATAAATTCCTAAGGTAAATTTTGAGAGAATGTATGACATTAAATTAAACAGAAAGTGGGCCAAACAGAATTATTTAAATTAATATCCCATTTTGATTTTGTAAAAATTATTGTAATATTGAATTCAATTTACAAAGAACAAAGAAAATTACAGAACAGGAACAGGCCTTTTGCCCCCCACCAAGCCTGCACTGACATGCTGCCTATCATAACTAATACACCCTACCCTTCTGAGGACCGTATCCCTCTATTTCCATCCTATTCATGTATTTGTCAAGATGCCCTTTAAATGTCACTGTAGTATCTGCTTCCACTACCTCCCCCGGCAGTGAGTTCCAGGCACCCACCACCCTCTGTGTAAAAACTTGCCTTGTACATCACCTTTAAACTTTGCCCCTCACACCTTAAACCTATGCCCCCTAGTAACTGACTCTTCCACCCCGGGAAAAAGCTTCTGACTGTCCACTCTGTTCATAATCTTGTAGACCTCTATCAGGTTGCCCCTCAACGTCCGTCGTTCCAGTGAGAACAACCCAAGTTTCTCCAACCTCTCCTCATAGATAATGTCCTCCATACCAGGCAACATCGTGGTAAATCTTTTCTGTACCCTCTCCAAAGCCACCATATCCTTCTGGTAGTGTGGGAGCTTTGGAGACGGTACAGAAAAGATTGAATACTATATTCCAAATGCAGCCTAATTAAGCTTCTATAAAGCTGCAACATTACCTACGAATTTTTAAACTCAATGCCCCGGCCAATGAAGGCAAGCATGCCATTTGCCTTGTTGACTACCTTCTCCACCTGCGTTGCCACTTTCAGTGACCTGTGTACATTTACACCCAGATCCCTCTGCCTATCAGTACTCTTAAGGATTCTGCCATTTACTGTATACTTTCCATTCCTTCCGAAATGCAGTATCTCACATTTTTCCAGATTAAACTCCATCTGCCATCTCTCTGCCCAAGTCACCAAGTCCTGCTTTATCCTCTGATGGTCCTCATCACTCTCCGCAATTCCGCCAATCTTTGTGTCATCTGCAAATTTACTAAAGAAACCAGCTACATTTTCCTCCAAATCATTTATATATATTACAAATAGCAAATGTCCCAACACTGATCCCTGAGAAACCACATTAGTCACAGTACTCCATCCAGAAACGCACCCTTCCACTGCTACCCTCTGTCTTTTAAGACTGAGCCAGATTTTTTATCCATCTTGCAAGCTCACTTCTGACCCCATGTGACTTTACCTTCTATATCAGCCTGCTATGAGAGACCTTGTCAAAGGCCTTACTGAAGTCTATGTATATAACATCCACTGTCCTACCCTCATCAATAATCTTTGTCACTTCCTCAAAAGCCTCAATCAAGTTAGTGAGACATGACCTCCCCTTCACAAAACCATGTTGCCTCTCGCTAATACTTATTTCCAAGTGGGAGTAAACCCTGTCTCGAAGAATCCTCTCCAATAATTTCCCTACCACTGACGTAAGACTCACCATTCTGTAATTAGCTGGATTATCCCTGCCAACCTTCTTAAACAAAGGAACAACATTGGCTATTCTCCAAACCTCTGGTATCTCCCCTATAACCAGGGAGGATACAAAGATTTCTCTCAAGACCCCAACGATTTCCTCCCTTGCCTCTCTCAGTGTTCTGGGGTATATCCTATCAGGCCCTGGGGACTCGTCTGTCTTAATGTTTTTCAAGACCCCCAAAACCTCCTCCGTTTTGATCTCAACATGACCCAAACTATCTACACACCCTTCCCCAGACTCATCATCCTCCAAATCCTTCCCTATGGTTAATACTGACATAAAGTACTCATTTAATACCTCGCCCATTTCTTCTGGTTCCACACATAAATTCCCTTCCCTGTCCTTGAGTGGGCCAACCCTCTCCCTGGCTACCCTCTTTTATCTCCCACTGGCTGTTGGGAGGCCTGTAGTAAACCCCAAACATTGTGATTGCTCCTTTCCTGTTCCTGAGCTCTATCCATATTGCCTCGCTGTATGAGCCATCAGAGGTGTCCTCCTGCAGTACTGCTGTGATATGCTCCTTAACAAGTAGTGCAAGTCCCCCATTCCTTTTACATCCCCATCTATCCCACCTGAAACATCTTTATCCTGGAACGTTAAGCTGCCAATCCTGTTCCTCCCTTAACCAAGTCCCTGTAATAGCAACATCATCATAGTTCCAAGTACTAATCCAAGCTCTAAATTCATCTGCCTTACCTGTTTACACTTCTCCCATTGAAACAAATGCACTTCAATCCACCAGGCCCATTTTGATCAGCAACCACACCCTGCCTGCTCTTCCTCTGGGTCTTACTGGCCCTATTCTCTAGTTCCCTTTCAGTCAATTCACCTTTGCTTTAGTTCCCAACCCCCTGCCAAGGTAGTTTAAATCCTTCCGAGTAACACCAGCAAACCTACCAGCCAGAATATTTACATTATCTAATGAATAGTGGCTCACACTTTAAAAATGTTGATTCATATCAATTTAAGTGTTTGTTATAAGCCTTTGCATTCAATGCAAGTAAAACTTCACATTTGTTCACCATTAACTCTGAAAAAGAATTTGCCCTTATGTAGACAAGAATACAAACAGTGCTCTCATTCAGGTAAGTGGTGAGTATTCTATCACTTCCTGTTGTGTGCCTTTGAGATTATTGGACAGGCTTTGGGAATACTATAGTTGAGTTACTTAATGCAGAACTCCCAGCCTCAGAATTTACATGGGTGGTGCAGTTAAGTTTATGTTCAATTGTAACACTCCACACTGCCCTAGAGTTATGCTACTTGGGATTCAGTGATGGTACTGCTGTTGAATGTCAAGAAAAGATGGTTAGACTCTCTCTTTCTGGAGATGGTCATTGCATGCAATTTTTAGTGTGTGAATGTCACTTGCCATTTATCAGCCTAAGTCAGAACATTATATAGGTCTTGCTGCATGTGGGAATGTATATAAAGGACTGGAGGATGATATTGACCACTGAAATCAACAGTGAGTACCTCGACTTCTGTCCTGAAAATGGTTGGGAACTGGGCACCTGAAGAACTCCTGCAATAATGTCCCAGGGCTGAAATGATAGGGCTACAACAACCAGAGCTATGCTCCTTTATGACAGATAAGGTTGCAATCAGTGCAGAGTTTCCCTTGATTCCCATATCTTCCCATACCTCAATTTTGTTAGGGATCCTTGATGACACATTGGATCAATTGATTCCTTGATATCAACGGTAGTCATTTTAACTCTCTTGCCCATGATCAGTTCAGTCTAGAACTCATACTGAGCATCAGTAAAGAGGTTAATGCTATGCAAATGCCATTTGATAGCACAACTAATGACACAATCAACCACTTTACTGATGATCAAGAGAAGACTAATGTGGCAGCAATTAGCAGCATTGGCTACTGTACTGCTTTTTATTAATTGGATATATCTGTGCAACTTTCCACTTTGTCAGCTAAATACCAAAGTATGGCTGGACTGGAACAGCTTGATAAAGATCATAGCTTGTTCTAGAGCACCAGGCTTCAATTTTGCAGCTAGAATGTTATCACGCCTCTTACCCTTTGTTGCATTCTCTGTCTTTAGCCATTCTTGATATCATGTGCAGTGAATACAATTGAATTATAGAATCCCTACAGTGTGGGAAGAGACCATTCGGTCCTTCAAGTCTACACCAAACTTCCAAACACCATCCCACCAAAAACCAGGCACCCACCCACCCTATCCCAGTAACTGCACAATCCTCATGGCTAATCCACCTAGAATGCACATTCCTGGACACAACAAGACAATTTAGCATGGTCAATCACTTAACCTACACATCTTTGGACTGTGGAACATCCAGCGGAAACCCACTCAGACAACGGGAGAACATGCAAACTCCACACAGGCAGTCACCCAAGGCTGGAATTGAGCCTGACCCTTGGCGCTGTGAGGCAACCATGCTAACCACTGAGCCATCGTGCCACCCAAGAATAAAGCTGACCAATCAAATTCATTTCATCCTGGGGCTTTTCTGTTGATCGATTTAAAGTTGGAACATTGTGATAGCTAGGAGTTGAACATGGGTCAACTGCTTGGAAGGCAGCTATGCTCACCACTATACCACAATCACTCTTCTTTCTTTTTCTGAAATGGATAAAATACAATTAGCGGAAGACAGACATCTGTGATGTTTGGAATCTTAGAAGGAGGTTGAAATTCTGACTAAAAGTAGTTGCAATTGCTTCAGTACAGTTCTAAAAAAATCCAAGTCTATTTGTTCTGTGTATAAGATTTATATTCTAAAGAATTTTGTTCCTGAGGAAGTAACAGATTAGCCTGATGAATATTATAATAGTTTGATTATTAATTTCAGATTTTCCAGTAATTAGATAGACAATTGGCATTTACTGTTATCATGTATTGTGAATCAAATTAGTACCAAATATAAAATAATTTTAGAAATACCTTCAAAATTTTAATATTATCTACAGCTCAAGCTGGCAGAAAACACATTTCAGAGTTTAAATTCAGTAATTTTTATGCAGTGTCTCAGATCTTAAGGCAGCTAAGCTTACATAATTGTATTAAACAGCATTACAGACCTGTAGAATAAACCATAAAATTTAACAGTGACTGAGAAGTGGTTTATCATGTAAAAACAACTGTGTCCTACAAAGTTGCAAGGTTAACAGTTAATTGTTTATGTGGCTGAAGAATGAAATGAGCATTTTTTTAACTGAGAGATAAAGGAAGATTACATAAGATTACGGATTGCAAATTTTAAAAACAATGCTGGGTGATAATGGAGAAAGGGGATCAGCCACATCACAGGTCACGAAGTTGAAGTGAGATACTGGATAAACTTATTGTTTGAGAACTTGCAATAGAAACTGGGCTGGAAAGGAAGAAGCAAGACTGTCCACCAATATCAACTACAAGCCTACTGACTCCCACAGTTGAGGTGCATAGTTCTTTGAAAGTGGAGTTACAGGTAGACAGGGTGGTGAAAAAGGCATTTGGTATGCTTGCCTTCATTATTCAGAACACTGAGTGCAAGAGTTAGGACAACATTGGTGAGGCCTCTTTCAGAATACTGCTTACAATTTTGGCCATCCTTCTATAGGAAGGATGTTGTTAAACTTAAGATGGTACAGAAAGTATTCACAATGATTTTGCCGGGACTGGAGTGTTTGACTGGAGAGAGGCTGAATAGGCTGTGTTTTTTTCTCCCCTGGAGTTTCGGAAGCTGGGAAGTGACCTTATACAGGTTTATAAAATCATGAGGGGCATGGGTAAGATGAATAGCCATGGTCATTTCCCCAGAGCAAGGGTGTCCAAAACTAGAAGGCATAGGTTTAAGGTGAGAAGGGCAGATTTGAAAAAGACCTGAGGGGCAATGTTTTCACACAGAGAGTGGTGCGCGTATGGAATGAGGAAGTGGTGGAGGCTGGTACAATTGCAAAATAGGAGGGGGTACACGGATAGGAGGGGTTTAGAGGAATATGGTGGCAAATGGGACTAGGACAGATTGGGATGCCTGGTCAGTGCAGACGATTTGGACCGAAGTGCCTGTTTCCGTGCCGTATGACTGTATGACTCTATGACATGTTTCACGATGAGAACAAAGAAAGTCAAGAAGAACTAAGTTACATTGAGATGAGAATAAGAGAGAGAGAGCGATTTTACGACACTTAATAACTTAGTCAGACAATAGACAATTTTCAGTTTCTTGGAGTGCATTTGGAGAGTTATAATGATGAATAAAAGTGCACAAACACAGAAGAAGAAATATTTCAAAACAATCCAGAAAATTTGAGCAAACATCTGATCAAAGCTCAACACATACTGGTAACTGCAAAAGATTTTTTAAAATCCTTGCTTGTGATGAACTTCGGGATTTATGGTGCAATTATATCATTAAAACTTCATTTCCAATTTCAAAATAATTATGTTTTACCTTAGTTTTCAGCTGCATACACAATAAGGAGTACAAAATATCTACCAACTATGAATTTCATTTCCTGATTCCAGATTTCTGACTAATGGAACTTATTACTTTAAGTAAATGAGAGGCTTTATAATATGTTTGGACTATTCAAAAACAAATTCCTAATTGTGAAATTCCTATTGCAGAGCACTTGCTGCATTGAATAAAATAAAATGATGTCTGACTCAAATGCAGATTTGATCTGATTCACTGTCTATAAAATGTTAAATGCAGCAGAACAAAATCAATGAAAAGAATCACATATATATCGTCCCTCTGAACAAGGCTTCTTACAGTAGAATCTCAACTAATTTGGTGTTTTTTTTTACCATTCAGAAAGTTCATTTATCTATTCCTTTTTCAGGTTACCCTATTGCAGAAAAAGTAAGCACATTGTTAGGCAACAAGGTGCTCTTCAGTTGCCTGTTTAATGGAAATGTGACTAAGATGTCATGGATGTTTAATCCAATACTTCAAATTGCAGCTATCCGATGCGATTCGAACAAAATGGTTTTGATTTCCAACAATAGCAGAATAATAATTCAAAGTGCAACATGCAATACATCTAAAAATGAAATGAATCTCCAGATAGAGCCTGTGCAACTTGCTGATGATGGGAATTATACTTGTGAAATTCTAGATCAAAGAGGAGTTCATAGATTAACCTTCTCATTAGCAGTAACAGGTAAGAAACTTCTAATATTTAATATTGAAAAGTAACGTTTGTGGAAGGTAACTTTTTTTTTATTGGACTTAAACACACTGGTTTCCTTTGAAGGCAATTTTACTGCTCCGCTAAGACCCAGGACAGAGGGAAGTTGACACTGAGTCCTAAAAATTTTAAAAGTCCAGAGCACAACCCCAGGGTTGGGTAGCATAGCACTTCCCGGTTTTATGAAAAGTCCTCAGAGAATTTCAAGAATAAATATGAAGAGCTTTGGTAAAGTCTTAATAAAGTGTCCTAGGAAGTATCCTAATGTGTTTCAAATGTCCTTTCAAACATCCAGCACAAGTGAAGAGGGAAAATATCATTGTTTTAAGTTGTGTTCAAAATCCCCTGCAGTTACCAGTCCAGTCCTTATTAGCCGGCCACTGTTTTGTTTGATGAAGGCATTTGGTTATGCTAGTAACTAGAATACGGTGCACCTCCCTTAATAAGCTCGAAAGCTGTTGAAGTGATCAACACCCGGCTAATGATTCTTTAGATGGTTATAACTGCTGCAAGGCTTCATCTTCTTTCCCAAAGTTATTCCTTTTGCTAAACATGAGCTAAACTGGTAGTTCGGATTAAGACTACAACTTGATTGCCTCTGAGGGTCTTCATAAGCAAATGCTTCAGGGAAAAATCACTCCAGTATTTTCCAGTTTTACTTAGAGTACCCACCTAGAAGTCATGTACTTGAAGTCCCTGACTTTTAATCTCAATATATGCTGGAATGTCAGAATTTAAATTTTGCAAGTTGATATTTTGGACCAGAGTCATTGTTCGCTACAGAAAAAACCTGAATGAATTGCAGGTGCTGCAAATCTGAAACAAAAACTGAAATTGCTGGAAAAACACAGCAGGGCTGGCAGCAAAGTGGGGAGAAAACAGAGTTAATGTTTTGGGTCCAGTGATCATTCTTCAGAATGAAGCTGCCAGGCCTGCTAAGATTTGCAATTTCTGTTTTTGTTCCATAAAAATAATTATTGCTTTTATGTGGAAAAAGATACACCGGTCAAGTATGGATGATTTTCTGATATTAAAATAAAAGAAAGGACATTCTGAGGAAGGGTCAAGAGACCAGAAACGTTAACTCTGATTTTTTCTTCACAGATGCTGCTAGACCTGCTGAGCTTTTCCAGCGACTTCTGTTTTTGTTCCTGACATTTTAGCTGTACCTGACTTGAGACAATGTTCATTAAAACATCAAAACTACTACACAGGCTATGGCTCAGTCTATAAAATGGGAGAATTCGTCAAACAGAAAGTACTCCCTATCAATTTTCTTTCACCTTTAACTGATCATGTGCCACTCCTAATTTTCTGGCCACTTCAACATTTACTTGGAACTGTCCAAACACATTTCACTTTGATCATTTACACTATATGTTAGACTTAAATTGAAATCCTAAAATTATTCTACCCAAATCAATTACTCTAATTTATATTTCTTCTTTTACTAACTTTTGACAAAAATAGAAGTGAAAAATATGTATTGCCATTTTGCTAAAACAAAATTAATAGTAATCTGTCAATGTTTGGTAAAGTTCTCAAAAAATTTCATTCATCCAAAATTTGGTGGATCAACAGCATTAATTCTTGCTGAGGAAATTGAGAAAATCATTTGTAAAGTCAAATTGAAACTAAATCTATTTCATTAATTCTGTCATTACTTAGCTTAATATAGGACCATTACCAAATATGTTATACAGGAATAATTAGTACCAAGCAGTGTTGGAGAATTTTTAGCAAGATTTAGATAAAACCCTAAATTGATAAAAATTTCCAAAACCTAGCAGCTATCATTACTAGCTGATTTCCGTATGTTTGTTTGAGCTTATGGAACAATGTCTTATTATGGTGACACTGTTACAGTCTGTTTCAGTATTTAATGCATTTTTAAGAATTCACATAGAAACCAATTTATAATTCAAGTTGATGGTTCCATTTTTTAAAAGTCCAGAACATAAATACAATGCAAGTTTCAATTCAAGTATCATTCTGTCTTTTTCAGTTCCACCTGATATATCTTTCAGTATTGAAAACAAACTAGATGATACAATGGTGGCCATATGCACAGCATCAAATGGGAAACCAGCTGCAGAAATTACTTGGTATCCAAATAATTTAGGAAACTTCTCAATCGACATAACCCATCACAGTAACAGAACTACAACTGTACGAAGCAAGTATCACATTAGCGTCCACCAATTCAGTGAGGAGATAAGCTGCATTGTAAGCCACCCAGCATTTAATGGGACAAAAAACTATACCATTCCTCGAAACAGTCCAGCTCTACATGGTAAGCATATCTGAAATTATGTCGAGTGAAGGGTGCCTGATGTTTATAGAAAACCACAATTAAATAAAACTAAATATAAAATAGCATTTATCGGTCAAAAGTTAGAACATCTGAAGTAGAAGTAATAGTTTTATTCTGTAAACTAGATTTTGGGGGGATTTGCTGAACCATTTACAAGTAAAGGATTCATGGAAGTGAAATTGTTTATCCATGAATGATGCATTCTATTGCAATAAATTATTTGTGCTTCTTCATGTACTGCGATTTGTGCTATTCATGTGCACCAAAGTTGCACCATAATTGAGTGGCCATTTCGAAAGTACATGAAAGAAACCCTTAAGTGGTAAACTAGAAATTTGGAGTGATGTGGCCATGAAATATGCGTTATCGAAGCCAAACATATTGTGCAGATGGCACAAATGAAGATCAGCTGCTATCAATAGACACTTTAGAGGTTTATTTCAAAGTTTCACCTACCTATACACAGAAGTTGAAATGATAGCAATATAGGATGCTCAACCTGAAGCAAAGAGTCTTTTGTTAACCAGTTCCAAATCAATAAATACTCAGATTTCATAGACAAACTGTGTCAAGTTCCCCTCAGCTGTACATCCAACTTTCTGCACATCTACTAATGAGGCTGAATCTGTGAAATAGACCAGTCTTCCTTTTAACCATAAATCCAATCATTAGTATCTGTTCTGAACATGGATGCCAGGATTTGGTAAGGCAATGAGGAGTACATCCTTAGTTTTTGGTGATGAAAAAAAAATCAAGAGAATACAAAGGGCAAAGATCATTGACAAATTAGCAAAATCAAATTACGTCAAAATCAAAAGCAGAAGGCGAACAGGTGAGCAAAATTGAGGCTGTTGGATAATGACAGCAATAAGTCATCAGCTCTTGTGGTGCAATGGTAGTGTCTCTATCTCTGAGCCAGGAGGCCTATGTTCAATTTCCACTTGCTTCAGAGCTGTGCAATAACATCAATAAACACATTCTTGTTTTTAGAAAATACTTAAAAGCAACATTGATGCTAAAGTAATTAGTCAATGGAAAGTCCGAGTTGTGATAAACATCTGTTTTTCACACTTCAGAATGTATACAGTAGAATCTTTAAGAATCGCTGCTGATTTTTTGATAAGACCTTAGAACAGAAGCAGAATTAGGCCATCTGTCCCATCAAATCTGCTCCACCATTCAGTGAGATCATGGTTGATCTAATAATCCTCAACGTCACTTCCCTGTATTTTCCTCGTGACCTTTGACTCCCTCACTGATTAAAAATCTGTCTATCTCAGCCTTAGCTGGACTTAAATGCACAGCCCTCTGTGGTAAAGGATTCTACACAATCGCTGTCTTCCTCATCTTTCCACAACCCCCAGTCAGGACCCCTCAGAATCTTACATAATTCAGTTAAGGTAAAGTCTCATTCTTCCAAGGTCTAATCAGTAGAGAGTTATGGACCAGATCAAACTCCCTCAAATTTATTAAGAAGATAGCATTTTCTTACTTTAAAGGCAATTCCAAGCATTGTGTTCCGGCTGCCATTTGATTGATTGAACTACTAGTCTTGATGCAAAACGCACTTAATTCATACACCAAAGTTAAAATACAACAAAAGAAAGAAGAAATTGTAATAATTTAACTGTATAGGAAAACTTAACGAAATAATAGATTATTTAACTACCATACAGTAACTATTCCAATATAGTAACATCCCATAAACAAAGGCAAATTCAGTAAAGTAGTCTCAAATGAAATTCTCCAGCTTAGGAGGGAAAATAGCAAGAGGAAACTCTGAGAGATAGAGTAGCAGGGAGAGATGTACTGCAACTTCCAAACCTAATTTCAAGAATCTAGCAACAACAACTACTGAGAAACCAAAAATAAAAATCCAGGCTCTGGAGGAACTTTACCCCTACCCAATCAGGCTGCTTCTATTGTTCCAACGTTTGAAAAAAATACCAAAGCCACACAAGTTGTTTACCCTATTGCATTCAAATAGACAGTGTGGTACCTCTGTCTTAAAATCTCTGTTCAAAAAAACACCCAGGACCAAATACATCTCTTAAAGCCATGGTATTCATCACAACAGGCCCAACCTCTCTTCATAAGAAAATACCTTCACGTCCAGGATCAACCTAGTGAACCTTCTCTGGACTGCTTTGAGCGTCAGTATATCTTTCCTTTTATAATGAAACCAAAACCTTTCGCAATATTCAATGTGTTGTCTAATTAGTGTCTTGTATAGTTTTAGCAAGATCTCCCTCTTTTATATCACATTCTCTTGGTTAAAAAAAGGCCACCATTTCATTTATGTACCAAGATCCCAAATGTCTCTGCAGTTTTCTCTGGTCTTTCTCCATTTAAATAATATTCAGCACCCGTATTCTTCCTTGCAAAGTGTATGAACTTACATATTCCCTCATTATATTCCATCTGTAAAGTTTTTATCTACTCACTTAACTTGTTCATATCCCTCTGCTGACTTTTTGTGTAATCCTCACCATTTGCCTTCTGATCTATTTTTGCATCCTCTATAAACTTAGCAATAGTACATTTACTACTGTTATCTATATCATTGATATATATTGTTAAATATTGTGGTAGCAGTGCATTCCTGTGACACTCCACTAGTTTTAGGTTGCCATCCTTGAAATATCCCTCTTATACCAACACTCTGACTTCTACTAATTAGCCAATTCTCTATCCTTAGAAACAGTCCTAGATTGTAGTAGATTAATTAGTGCTTATGTTTTTTGCAGATTCACAATCAACTGCAAAGATATTATTCAATTTATACCTCATTGCTGGTGTCCTGGCTGCTTTTCTGTGTCTTCTTGCAGTAGTACATTTTACAGTCAGATACTTCAATCTCCACATAGAAACTGCATTCAGGTGAGCTTGTCAATTGTGTAAAGTATCTTTATGATCATGTCAAGAAGGAATGAAAATAATTATATTCAAACTTAAAATTCTATTTTTATTCTTCTAATTAGCACAAACATAATGAACATCATCCAATTACTAGTAATGCTTATCTTGTCACTTGTTCTACAGTTTTCCTGTAAATATGCCTCACCTATAACTTATTATCATATTTCATGGTCAATTGTTTGCTATACATAAAAAAATTATTTTAAAAGTTATCACAAAGTCAAATGGAAATAAAATTCAATGTTGCCCATTTTACGTTGTAATACAAACATTGATAGAACACAATCACTGCCACCATGTTGTGCTTTGCTAACCTCTGTGATACCTTCTACTGTGCCCATCCGATCCTTCCATGGATTCTTTATTCAAGGATGGTATTGTGTTAGCCTGATTGCCAGCTCTGGCATTTCATGGAATCTGCCATCTATGCCAGCCTGTGGTTCAGCTGAGGGTTGTTTGATGTAGTTAACTGCCTCCAATGCTCCTTTGTCTATGCTTTGTCCAATGATCAGTGGTAGAAGATACATCACCAAAGAATCTTGACAGAAGAGACACTGTCTTAGTTAACAAGGTGGTTTATTGTATGATAGCAATAAGCATTAATACATTCTCATCAGAGGAAGGGTCACTGCACCTGAAACATTAACTCTGATTTCTCTTCACAGACGCTGCCAGATCTGCTGAGCTTTTCCAGCAATTTCTGTTTTTGTTTCTGATTTTCAGCATCTGCAGTTCTTTTGGCTTTTATGCTATATATAATATGTCTGCTCCCTCCAAATGTTTGTGTAAAACTCATTGCCATCACCCACAAACTGTGCATGGTATCAACAGAGCAGGTAGATCTTAATTTGACATGAACATTAATCCCTTCAGAACTATTACCTTACCTTAAACAACTACTCCCTCAAACTTTTCCCTATAACTTCCAACCTCTTATATATTCAAATGTATAGTTTTTTTTAGATTTATCACTACTCCATCTGCAACGGCATCACACCCCACACTCACCCCAAGTTTCCATCTTTACTAATGCAGGAAATCTTGATGTTTCATAATATTTCCAGAATGTATTCTCTTCAAATATTGAAGGATGGTATGTCTTCTGCCTGAAGACTGTTGACCTTTATTCTGATCCCTGAGTCATTTCTCCACTGTAGAAACTTCTTCCATTAGATACTCTCTGTGGAGGATGTTGTTCCTTATGTATTATTGGTGGCCCATTACTTTATCTGGAGGATCAGTGCCTTACTGCTAGGCAAGTTTGCTTGGGGGATGAAGGCCATCTTTCTTGCCAATGGATTTAAAGGATCTTGGGGGTACTTCTCCAGTGCTTTGAAATGCCAGCTGTCCATTTTCCACATCTCCAGAGGATATAGGATCACAGAGAATACTGCTAGTGAGTAAATTCCCAAAGTTGGGATCCTGAGCCTCATGTACTCTTTTCTTCAGCGCATTGGAAGCAATGATGAATTTCTTTACCCATGTCTGCCTTTGTCAAGGGGAGGCTTCCAAGGTATGGAAGATGGTCCTCATTTTCCAGGATCTTGACAAATAGTACCTTCTAAGTATTCCCTGAATGGTAGCATATCTGCTATTGTATTCCAAAAAATGTCCGCAACTGGGGAGAAACTTCTTTAATGACACTGAGTTGCATGCTTGACCTGCTGTAATTTTTAGTACTGCTTGTGAACCATATCTCTGGGCACTTGAACTTGTATTCTTTGCACCCAGATGTGCGAGTGCTACTAAGTGCTACTACTGATGCCCTGAGATGGACCTGTAGTAGCTTACATCTCATGTGCTTCTGCAGAAGTGATATATCTGGACATTTTTCACCCCAGAGTCTCTGTGATTAGCTATTCGAGGGTTTGTGTGTGCAGCAATTCTGTCTGCCAAAGCTACTTCAAGCATTTCAATCTCTGTGCCAATTTCCATCTGCAAAATGGATGCATTTACAATGTTAAAAGCTGGCCCTGAGTATTCATGAGCAACTCAAAGCACCATCTTTGGTGAGATCAGTATTCATCAGTTGGATGAGCACTTCCACACTTTTGACAGCAAATGTGTTAAAGAAGAAAATCCAGGCTTCTGTGGTATGAAAATGGAACAATTTAACAGTATTTGAAGAATACGATGATAGTGACAAGAATGTTTGCATGCGATCTAATGCTATGAGGTAAGATAATTGATTAAAAGGAAGCCACTACATTTCTTAACCCATGCAAGCCATACTTTTGTGGAGTAACTTATTGGTAATTTGCAATTTTCTTGTAAAAGTGAGATCACATCAAAGAACAGAATGATTCAATTGTAGTACTAGACTGAAATAGACCAAAGCTACTGAAAGCTGTGTAATAACAGAAGCACTGAAAAGCAGAAGAATCTGTAGGCATTAAGGGAACAAAGTACTGAAGAAAGAAACCAAACCAGAAATGCTAAGAATGAAAATTGATTTTATATGAAAGTCAATTAAACCAGTGAAAATGCTTTTTTTAAGTCAATATATTCTACTTGATATCTACTTCCTTATCATTGTAATTGCTGAACCACCCATTTGTATTCTTACCTAAATAAGCATGCATATTACATTATCTTATTAAATTAAACTTTCACAATTTGTAAATGTTATCCCAACGCATTAACCCATAATGGAAAAATAAAACACAATTGCCTTGGTGCTGCTGTTCCTGCTGCAGCAGCCATAACTTTTGTCAAAATGAAACTGAAACCCGAGAGCTTGTAAGGGTGGTTTCTCCTGTAATTACGGCAAGTGACAGCAACAAAACAGGAACAGCACTAAAGTAATTTAAAGGAAATTATAGGCCTAAATGACCATTTCTATAATGGGAAAAAAAATACTCTATCTGTTACAACATATATCTAGGCTTTATTGTGATTTGTGGTGCCCACATTTATCTTCTTCATTTTGGTTATTTGCAGATTTTGGATAGTGGTTGTTTCTTCTCTCAGTGAACCAGGCATGTGGCTCTGCCCTGCCTGCTATTAGATCCCTTCTTCCCCACATAAGTAATTTGTGGCTGCACAACTTTGGATCTTATGCCATGGCAATATCAGGTCTACCCACCCTGTTACTTGCCTGACCACCAGTGAATTGATCTATTTATTCCCCCTTTAAGCTACTAGCAATGAACTTAACACTTTGGGCCTTGTGTCACCCCCTGACCCATGTGTGAACTGTGATCTCTGACTGTGTGAACCCTGGAACTCAAAGAAACTAATGGTCTATGATAGCTTCCCTGAGTTGAATCTTATGTTTATTTGTCCATATTGATGATTTTCATGCAGGGTTTCTTGTCACGAGGCCTAATGACATCTCCCAACATATCTTACCCAATCTGCCTCATGAGCTAACTATTCCACAATGACGGCACCCCTTTCACCCAATTCAGGTCCTATTCTATCATGCAACAATCCTGAGGGCACTTGGCACTTACTGGATATCCATCAAAAGACATCCCCGACAGCCTTGGTGTATGTGTCATCTTTGAAAGGGCAGTGTGCACCTGGACAAGTATTGGCAATCCAGCCTTTCCTCTCACTGGCAATGTAATGGGACAGCAGCTACAAAGCCACCCTGCTCACAGGACATAGCTGGCATGGCTGACACTGCTTCACACATACAATCCCATTGTCTCAACCTAGTCTCGGTTTAACCACCAGGCAATGCATTCTATCTGTCCTTACCTACATCCCATCTAAGCATCCACTATAAGTCACCACTACTCTCTTCCTGATGCCCACTGGAGATCCACATCTTGTCATTGTTCAACAGAGGAACATCATATATTGGCAAGCAGTCTGACATTCCAATGATGAGCTTTTATTTACAGCCAGCAAAAGCGAACACAAACAAAATGAGTTAAGGTGCATTTCACTTCCACAATGTCAATCAAATGCTGGCACCATGATCAATGACTACGTTACATGATGGTCTGCCGCATGCAACACTCATACATTGGATATCCATCAGGTCCTGTCTGCCTTGTAATGTGTGGCCCAGTTGAAATCTGTTGTGCACAAGGAGTGCTATCTCTTCCTCAATGTCCTCATTTTCCTCCCCCTCTTTCTCCTCCTCCTTAGAAGACTGCTACCATTGCCCCATTTCCTCTGCATTCAACACATTGCCTTGTTGCCTGCTCCATTTGTGGAGCTCTTGCCCCTATTGTCCTCCCAAGGGACCAGCCTTGTAAGGCTCTGGGACACTCAAATGCACCGTTACACGAGAGTGAAATTCCAGGATGTAGAAGTCATGGCAACTTCCAGGGTAGCGGACACAGAGCTCCCGGAAGTGGAAATGGTGATTACAGATCAGTTGGAGAGTACGGGAATATATCCCCTTCCTGTTGATGAATACCACAGCTTTGTGACATAGCCCTCTCAGCAGTAGGTGTTTGCAGTCAATGGCATCCTTAATCTTGGGCAGAAAGCCATACTCCAGAATCCAACATCTCAGGTTTCAGCACTAACCTTATCATGGAGGAATGAAATGAACCTTTGTGACCTTGCACAGATGCATGGTCACTGCCCATGATGCATTTGTGGGTGCACAACTGAGTGATCTCACACAGGACACCCATTAATTCCTGGAAGAAGCCAATTGTATCAAGGTTCAAAGCAACCATTACTTTCACATCCACTGGGAGAGGATGGTCTCCCACTCCTACAGCCCACAGCCTCACTCCAGCAACCAGACACTGTTCCATCAGTGTCCCAGGACATATTGAGTCTGCATCAACACCATGCCTCATTCACACTTGGAAATGGAATCAGGGTCAAAATTGTCAGGTCCTCTTGTGGCTCTAATAAATCCTGAGGAGCACTGCAACTGTGATCTCTGCCTGAGCTGGGTCCTCCTGCATTTGTCTTGGCCTTCTTTGGAAGGCAGCCACAAAGACCAACATCCCACCAGTGCAGGGCACATTAGTTTTGTTGACAATGACCATTCTTGAGAATGTAAAGCGAAAAACAGACTCTTATCTCTGGAAACAGTCAGTGGTGGGGCATCCAGCAACTGAAGGTTCCAAACAGTGAGACATTCAGACCCTGTTAGTGGGGGCCATGTCTCCATCATTCATTCACCTCCTTGGTGAGGGTGCTGTGCTGGCTGAGCAACCAACACATTGCATCAAAACACAATCCCTGCTTCAACCCCTTCTCATCCAGACCCACTTCAACCATGAAAATTATCATTGCATTCAGTAAACTCCATTGTAACACTCCATTGTATATGAAAAATGATAAAGTGAAGGTCTCCACCTCCCAGAGTATTCCTGGAAGTTTCACAAATGATAGCACAGAATGAGAATCCTTTCCAATCAGATGGCTTTGATGGGCCATCTAAATGTGTGGTCTCAATGGATTAGGTGTTTTAAGTCTCCTTTTAGCAGAAATATTGTCATTCAAGTCTGTTTATTTTACTTCATTTATCTTTATCATCATCAAATATACTATAATGACCGTAATCACCATAAACAGTAAACAATGTAAAATGTATAAAATCTAAAATGTGTAGTTTCCAACATGATTCACAATTTCTCTTTCTACAGAAATTGCTGCGCCTCCAGGTCCAGTCAGGTAAGAGTCATTTCTTAACTGTTTGCAGTCTAAAAATACTTAGCAATCATGATCATTTTCTTCCACTTTATTCTCATATTCACATCTCTTGGTAGCATTTTGTCAATGGTTTCATAAGACTTCTGCCAGAACTTTGGCAAAGCCAAAAAGGCTCCGTCCCTTTAGTCAAGGTCATGCCAGAGCTCAGGTTGCATCAGACCTTCAAACCCAGCACCCATCATTTTTATTGAGGAGAATGAGAATGGAAGAAAGTTATACTTTGCATCTCTATGGTTAGCAGCGCCTCTGCACAATGTCTTCAAACAGATCCAGTTTTCATTGCTGGGATTTCAAAAACCTGCCATGGGTATTTAGAACATTTGAGGAAAATCATTTAAAGTAAGGTACACTTTTGGAAAGAAAATGTAAGGTGCCCCTTCAGGAGAGGTCAGGGACCCCATGGGGATCATTAGAAGGAGAAAGGAATGTGTGCAAAAAATTAATATTCTCTATGGAACTGTCAAGCTGTCAAGGCATATAAATCTCAATGCCCTTTAACTTTTTTGCAGAAAAGATCTAGACTGCAATTGAAAATAATCAACACTTGCTGTTTCACAAACAAAAATAGAAATTGCTGGAAAAGCTCAGTGGGTCTGGCAGCATGTATGTAAAGGAATCAGAGTTAACATTTCAGATTGAGTGACCCTTCCTCAGAACTGATGGTAGCTCAGAAAATGAAGATAGGATGGGGAGAGGGGTAAGGAGTAAATGATAGGTAGGGATAGAACCCAAAGAGAGAAAAGAACAGTTGGACAAAGGAATGGATAATGATCTGGCTAGGAGGGTGAATAGCTGTTAATGGGGATTGTTAATGGCTAAAAATGGGTTGTGTGTAATAGCAGACTATGTGATAACAAGGGCTGGTGGTGGATGGGGACGGTTCAGACCTTTGTTCTAGGAAGAAGCAGAGAGTCCTGAAACCATCCTGATGGGGGATGCTTGTGTAAAGGGATGCTGTTTCACAGTTTTCTGGCCTGAGCCTGGGAGTTATCATAATAGTATAAACGTGATTTGACTACTCCAGTTTATTGTATCACCATCAAGGTGGCAATATGGGGTGGTGCTGTCAGATCACAGTTTCATGAACAATGAGCTGGGTTTGATACGACGTCATGAATACAAACATTTGTTTTCATAACAGATTATGTAACTTTAGGAATTGAAATGTTATAAATGGGAATTCTTCTAAAAATATACAGTGAGATCTACAATAGTCACTTATAGCTTTATTTTACTAAATCTCCTCAGGTCTGCCCATGGTGGACTCTGGGTGAATATCCATGATCGGTCCAAGGGCAAAATGCAGGGAGCATGGTTTGGCATGAATTAGCACATGGTATGGTGACTACAAACGGTCATGGGGATTGAGTAGAGGACCATATGTTGGCATTGAGAGTATGAGGAGCAATTGGAGTTGGCAGGGTGTCTTGAGATGGATACAGCATGAGATTGCTTTTTGTTTAATTGTTGGCATTGTAACTGGCACATTGTTCCACAGGACCCAGACAAGCCTTTTAAATAACATGCCTTCGCAGCCACAACAGACCCAATATCATTACAACCTGGAAACAAATAAGAACCCTACTTTCAATTTTGCTCATCACAACATTACACTTCAAATCCATGGTTTAGAGCTGGTTTACAGGATGAAAAGTAAACTATTCTGTCTATATTTCCTCCATTCCAGAACCAAAATCGTTCTGACCTTTGTCATTGAGCTGTAGCATGCAGCTGACACTGGCGTGTGTGCGCACTCAGAGAGTAAGCTCTGAACAGTCAATGATGCATTCATATAGATGTTTGATATAAGGGGCCATGGGCTAAACATCCAGAAAAGCAATTTGCTCTACCAGTTTGCTCACCCCACACAACACTGATCTTAGCTATGAAGATGTGTGATGAGCTGCTGGAGAAAGTGGATTATTTCTCATACATTGAGAGGTTCCTCTTGGTGAGGGCAGATATCTATTGATGATGAAATTCAACATTACCTTCCACACACCAGTTCAGCCTTCGGTCAGAGAGTTTGTTGCCAAAAACCTCAAAGCCAGCCTCAAAGCTCATGGTCTGCAGGGCCACACTATATGTGCCAGATTCTTGGAGAAATATCACCAGTGATGCCTCCACAAAATCCTACAGGAGAGGTACTCTAATATCAATGTCCACTCTCAGAGCAATATCCCAGCAACAAGGAACTAGTTATCTGTAATCAGCTCTGTTGGGCAGCCACATCATCCACAAGCCCGACACAAGACTCCCAAAACAAGCTCTCTGTCACTGCAAGTGGATACCAGTAGGGCTGAGGAAGTGTCCTCAAAGTCTCCCTGAAAAAATCCAAACCAACTCATGAGAATTTCTTGCCCAAGACTACCTAAACTGGAGAAGAAACATCCACAAAGGTGGAAACCTTTTTGAGTATCTCTGACAGACTCAGATGGAGGTCAAGTGCAAAGAGAGGATGGAGGGTATGAAAATCCGAACATCCCACCCACCCACTCCAGAAAACAACCTTCCCATCTGTAGAAGGGCTTGTGAATCCATCACTAATTATTCAGTTACCTCAGGAACCATAACACTAGAGTGGAAGAAAATCATCCTCCATTCTGAGGGGTTGTTTAAGAAGGAGGGGAAGACAGTATTCTCTGATTCTGACCTCCTCATGTAGCCACAGTATTTATATGGTCAATCTAGTTAATGTCCTGGTCATTGGTAACCCCAGGATGCTGAAGGTGGGGATTTAGCAGTGATAATGCCATTGAATATCAAGGTCAGGTAGTTAGGTTCTCTCATGCTCAAAGTTTTCTGCAATGAATGATGGCCCAGCTTGCAATGCCCATATCACATGAAAGAACTAACACAAAACTTATTGCCTCACATTTGTGTGGCACAAATATTTCTTGTCATTTACAAGTCCAAGTCTGAATTTTGTCCAGGCCTTATAAATAGACACAGATATCTTTGTTATCTGAGGAGTTATGAATTGTACTGAATCCTGTGCAGCAAGCAGTGAACATCCCAATTCATGTGCAAAAAATGAAACAGGAGCAGAAATAGACCAGTTGTTTCCTTGAGCCTTTACTGTTATTCAGCAAGATCATTGCTATCTATGTTTTGAATTCTGCACGCCCACCTAACCCCAATAACCAATTCCCTTACGTGACAAAAAGCTAGCACGAATTAAATGACCCTGCTTCCATTGCTTTCTGAGGTAGAAAGTTCCAGAGTCGAACAACACAACTGAGAGAAAAAAGACTATCTTCATGTCGGTCCTAAAAAATCAACTCATAATTTTAAAACAGAGTGCCTTAGTTCTGAACTCAGCCAGATTTTTTCCATATCTGTCTTTACACAACCATTCAGGATCTTTCCCTTACACACTTAACTATTTCAGACAGCTCACACCTCACTCTTCTAAACTTTAATGGAATCAATTCCAGCCTGACCAATGTATCCTCATAAAACAACCCACTCATCCCAGATTTCAACACAGTAAACTGTCTCTGAAATGCCTGAAATGCATTCACATCCTTCCTTTAAAAATCTGTACACAGGATACAAGATGTGGCTTCACCAATACCCTTTGCAAGCAAAGTGTAACATACTTACTTTTGTGTTCAATACCTCTCATAGTGAAGGATTGCATCCCATAGGCCTTCTTGATTATGTGCTCTGCCTGAAAATTAACTTTTTGTGACCAATGAACTAGAACAGCTAAATCCTTCTGTACCTCTGAATTCTGCTATTGTTCTGTGTTTATGTAATACTCTGTTTTTCTTATTTTCTGCCAAAATGAACTTCATACTTTCCCACATTATACACCATCTGACAGTCTTTTGCCCACTCACTCAACTGATCAAATTGTTCTGCAAATTCCTCATGTCTTCCTGACAACATATTTTTACATAGCTTTATGCCATTTGCAAATTTACCCAAAACATTTTTGCTCCTCTCATCTAAATCATTAAAAAGTTGTAAAAAATTAAGGCCCCAGCACAGTCCCCATTGGATTCCACCCATCACATCTGGCCAACCAGACAAGGACCTACCTATACGTAATTTCTCTGTTTCTTGCTTGTCAGCCAATATTCTATCCATGCTAATATGTTACCTGCACAACCACAGATTCCATCATGACCTTTGATGTGGCACTTTATCAAGCACCTCTGGAAATCCAAGTACAGTATGTCTACGGGCTCCCCTTTATCTGTAAATAATGTTACTTGCTCAAAAAGTCTAATAATTTGGTTAAACATGATTTCCCTTTCACAAAACCATATTGACTCTTCTTGATTACCCTGAGTATTTCTAAGTGCACAGCTAAAATCTCTTTAACGATCAATTCTAACACCAACTCTACAGGAGATATCAAGCTAACTGCCTATTGTTTCCGGTTTTCTGCTGTATTCTGGTGGAATCTACCGAATTTAGAAAATTAACAGTAACGCATCTAATACCTCATTAATAACTTGTTTTAAGACTCTCGGATAAAATCCATTTGGACCCAAAGACATCTCAGCTCACAACCTCATCAGTTCGCTCAGTATCACTTCCCTGATGATAGCATTTAACTAAGTTTCTTTCTCCACTTCACTTTCTGGTTTACAGCTACTGCTGACATGTTTTTTGTACAGTCTGCATTGAGGATAGAACTTAAATATTTGCTCATTTCATTATCAATTCCTTAGTATCTGCCATTAACTCCCCGTTTTCACTCTAATGTTACTTACTTCTTTTCTAAGTGCCTATGGAAAATGTTGCTATCCATTTTTACATGTTTAGTTATTCTTATCTTACACTCTAACTCTTTCATTCGGATTATTCTATTAGTCATCATCTGCCAATCTTTATATGCTGACCAAACATTTGACCTGTCACATTTGACCCGTCAATCAATTTTGAGCAGTTATATGCTTTTTCCTTTAGTTTAATGTTTTCCATGACTTCTTTAGTTAACCATGGGATGGTGAGTCCTCCCCTTAGAAATTTTCTTTTGATAGTGAGATGGCTGACGATGAAGCAGCTGAAGATTTTTGGGCCCCACATAAATATCCCAAGGAATTCCCTCTGTGATGTCCTGGGGCCAAGATGTTTGGCCTCCAATAACTGTAGCCACCTTCCTTTGTGCTATTTATGGTCTCAAACAGTGGGTCAAATGCTCCTCATCTCAGGACTTCAACTCTTAGATTTATGTTTGGTTCAAGTCTGCAATGAGTTCTGAAGCTAACTGGTCATGATAGAATCCAAACTGAGCAGCAGTGGGCATATTATTATTGATTATGTTCATTGATGGCACTGTCAACTGCAACTTCCATCAGTTTTTTGTTGGTTATTGGTAGATGGAACTGTCATTTGTCAGATTAGATTCATCTTGCCTTTTGAGGGCAGGATATACATGGACAATATTTCAAATTGCTCTATTTGCGTGCTGCTTCCATGGTTTAGTATGTATGTAATCTTGGTAGGGTCATTAGGTTGACACCACATTTTTCTGTTTGACTTGTGCTTGGTTCTCCAGCTTCATTTCTTGTTCATGCATTTCAGAAGCTAGTCAAACATCAGTCATATTGGTGGGTGTCTGGAGTCCTATAATAGGCAAGCCTATGTAAGAAGTGTAAGCTTCCTTCCCTGAATTTCTTGGGATTTTATAACAATTCAGTTGTTTCATGGTTCACCATAACTGGTGCCAGGGTACAGATGCTTGAGTAAGTACATTGGAATCAGAGGAAACTCTTCAGAAATAACAGAGTCTATGAGAAGCGTATCAGGTACATCAATAGGAAAATGGAATTAATTGTAGTAAAGGAAGGAAGGTTATCACGTGTAAACAGTACTACAAGAATTAAAGGTGAATTTGAAAGAGACACAGGAGCCATAGAGCAGACTAGTTGCTAGAAATCTTCAATTGAGGCATAGCCATAAGCAAGAAGGTGATATAATGTTTGACAACATGGTCAAACATTTAACATAAGTTAGAGAGGGTTAAACTATACATATTCTGGCTAACAATGCCTTGTGTACTGTGTCCAATTCTGATTCTTGAAGCACAAAGGAAAACTTTCAAACAGAGACGAAGCCAGATAGTGACTCCTTAAATACTGGTGTATGAGTTATGAAAGAAACTTAGGTCCTAAAGCCGGGAAAGAAGCTTAAAGGTGATTTTATAGCGATTTTTCTGGGAAGGTTGAAACAATTCTAAACCAATAGTTTGCTGCCATTTGTTGCTGTCTAAAATAGAGTTCATTCAAATGTTCCATTATTAAAGAAAACACTTTATATCTACAGGCGCTTTATGAGTAGTTAGACTTTTGAATGGATTACCTGATAGAGGGACCAATATAGATTTTATTGTAGACTTCAAAAGGGAATTGGAGGAACACATGAAGAAAAATATTCCAGAACCAAAACAGACTCAATGGACTGAGTGGTTTCCTTCAGTTCTTTATGGTACTTCCTTATTACACTTTGTGCTAAATGGAAGTGGCCTCCCAGTGCCAACCGTCAGGGAGAAGGTGTTAATACAGCAAGAGGGGACTGCAACCAGAGCTGGCACCCTCACAAACCCCAGTCATTTCTCTTCTTCAGTGCTCTACATTTTGATTTTAAAAATTTGTTTTGTCCTTTGTGCTCTAGGCCCCTGATCTCCTGAGAGTGGTCGTCACTGCTGAGACTGTTAAGTTGCCACTCCTCTGATTGACCAGCACATCTTGGGATTGTTCCATCTCCCTTACTTGGGTGACAGCTCTGATGGCAGCTATTCAATTGGCTGCTGCCTGTAAGATTTAGGAGGAGGTCCCATTAGCTGCCTGCACACACCTGTAACACATGTTTGCTTCCAACATAAGGGCCTTCACCAAACAATAAAATCCTGGCCTATGACTGTATGGCTTCCACTATAGGGTCATTATTTTTAAACATCCAGTATAAACATGTTGTTGTCTGTTTGTTTTCAGGACATATCTCAATCAAATGGACCTTTTATACAGATGGAGAATTTCATTTATGATTCATTTCAACCACAAAAACTGAGGTAACCACGGCAACATCCTTCTGAAACACATTACAATTTTTGTGGAAATTCATGAGATTAACATCAATGTATTTTTTATATTGTTATGGCTACCCTTGCTTTGGAGCTCTTAGAGATGGCGGTGTTCAGAAAGTTTCAAAATTAATCAAAATTATGCAAAAATGGCAACAATTCCAAACTGTTCTGTTGCAGTATGTGCTGGTATATGTCATAGTAGCTTGAAGTCAACTAGCTACCACCATCAAAAAATAAAAGGCGATCTCTGCTAAAAGTCATCATCACAATCACCATCACCATCCATTATAAGCCGTAATCAGTAGCAACCATGTAGTTAGCCATCACCTGAATGCCAGCAAAAAAATATCAAAATGCCCATGAGTAGACTGGCCACCAGCAGCAGGAAGCCAGCAAATACAAGACAACTAATCACAGCAACCAGAAACCTACTATCACTGGTGGCAGCCACCAATTCTTTGCCAATCACGAGAAGCCAACCAGTGAACCAATATGAGCTTGCATCAGCTTGGCTTCTAGCTCCATTGGTTACAGGACCATGCGCAATGGGATCTTTGGAAAATTCAACAAAGGAAAACTGATGGCAATTGCCAAGCTTTGCTTTTCTCTCAATCTGAGAGCATCGCTGGATATAAAGGTTGCTGCCTCCATAGCAGGGAAAAAAATTATGCCCTGTCAGTGAATAAAGACGGAAACAGATTAAAGTTTTGACATTCAGGATAGTTGAAAATTTATCCTAGAAATAACTCCAATATTTTACATCTTACTCCAAATTTGCCATTAACTAGTCTTTTACATATAGCTTGTAATGACTCCAAAATACTTGTAAACCAAGTGAGAAAACTGAGAAAACAACAGTAAACAACAAATAAGCAACTGTCTTTTTCAGCTAGTAGAGTGGAGCTTCAAAATCTCCCCTCCCCCTACCGCATCCCAAAACCAGTCCAGCTCGTCTCCGCCTCCCTAACCTGTTCTTCCTCCCACCTATCCCCTCCTCCCACCTCAAGCCACACCCCCATTTCATACCTACTAACCTCATCCCACCCCCTTGACCTGTCCGTCCTCCCTGGACTGACCTATCCCCTCCCTAACTCCCCACCTACACTCACCTTTACTGGCCCCATCCCCGCCTCTTCGACCTGTTTGTTTCCTCTCCACCTATCCTCTCCTCTATCCATCTTCTATCCACCTCCCACTCTCTCCCTATTTATTTCAGAACCCCCTTCCCCTCCCCCTTTTCTGATGAAGGGTCTAGGCCCGAAACGTCAGCCTTTCTGCTCCTATGATGCTGCTCGGCCTGCTGTGTTCATCCAGCCCTGCACCTTGTTGTCTCAGAGTATTTTGTATCATTGCTCAAATTGATTGAGAGCATCCTACACAGACAGGAGAAATAGGAGACTGAGGCAGCTGATATAACAGAGATAATGGTTTGGGAGAGTGCAGGATTGCCAATTTCTCAAGTTAAAAACACATGGGAACATAGAGAAGATGAGTAGGTTAGAATTATAGGTATTGAGAATATACTTCGCTCCCAAAAGACTGGCATACTCTTTTCAACAAAAATTAAAATAGGACACCCTTCATAAACATGTGTATTATTCCCAATGTACACATATTTTATGACTCGCCCCCAAGGGTAAAGCTGAATTTTTGTCAATCAGTCAGCAAGAGCATATTTCAATGTTCACTACACTCACTCTTGATCATCACATTTCTATGAGTATTTGTACTGGGACCATTGAGAAAATAAATCCATTTCAATGCAATAACTTCTACCAGAGGATTTGGGACCTGTGTCATCAGTACAAATATTTGTGCAACTCAACTAAATAATTCTTACTAAGACATGCAGAACCTACTCCCAGGTTTGTAAAGTAGCATATTTAATTCAATGTAAAACCTCTAATAGAGGTCAAATGAAAAGATGGAAAGCAAGATTGGATGCAGAAACAGAAAATAAAGAAAAGCTATTTTCATTTTGTTAACACCCTGATAATTAAAACTGGATAGTACGAAACTCTACTCTGGTAAAAATGATATTTCTTTAATGTCAGATATTTATTTGGCAGGAATTAACGCAGCATGAAAATCCCCTTACACTACAAAGTACAAACGGAATCTTTATCTAGTAACTTTAATGGATATATAGGAATAGGAATAATAAACTTTTCACGTTCTATCTATTTCAATTGCAAGTCCCCGGTTGAGACATTAGTGAAGGGGAACGTCCGGAAAACCGGCGAAACTCAGACAGCAGCCTCTGATTTCTGTGTTTAACTATACCTGTGCTATTTGATTACTCTTTAATGAAAGGGGGTCTGATAGCCTCACTATTACTTGTACTGCAATATGCGGGCAATTTTACCAGGTACATGTTTCAGCCTGAAAACAATCATTTTAGTAGTTTCCACTGATTAATTGTACTGCCCTCTGCTGTATCTTATGGATTTTGCAGGTGAAATTGAGCAAGGACCGCAATTTTTATATTGTGCCATTTCATTGGCATTCAATCACAAAAAAACAAAAGCAAGATGATCTTTGAACCAAAGCGATAGTTGTTTTGAAACAGTTAAAATAACTTGTATTAAAGTTATGTTTAAATCCAATTTGAAAGGGGAGCTGCAGATATCATTAAATGACAAATCAGAATTTCTATCTGATATAACAACTTGACTTTTCTGCTTCAAACAAACCAATTGTGATCTGACTAATTTTATGTTGAATATTTTCTGGTCTTCCTCTCTTATTGATGATGAATAGATTGTTGATAAATTAATTTTATTTTTAAAATTGCGCTTTTTTGATAAATTAGACTAAAGTCCTAAGGATAGATCAAGCGAATAAAAAAGGATCGATGGATGTGCAGCAATTAAATTATTAGCGCTTAGAATTTGTGTTATTATTTGATTACAATTTAAAGATCAAGATTATCTATTATTGATAGCCTTTTCATAATTCTAGGAATAGTGTTGATTTCCCCAATTAGTGCCATTTACTGTCATGTCATCTATTGTTGACCCATGGAATTTGGTTCTCAATTAATTTTGGTTTTGTTTAAGGATTACTCAAACATACTGCAATGAATAAAAACTACTTTTCTATGCATATTACAGTAAGTCCTCATTTAAAGTTGTGGCTGTGTTAATGAAAATTGTCGTTTTAACTGAAATAATTTAAAGTGAGCATAATTCCCTTAAGAAGCAATATTTAAAACATAGTTAAGTTACTTCACACATTTGTCTCCTGGAACCAAATGTACATGTTGAAATATTATACACTATGTTTGCAGTGCTGTACAGTATACGCCTAGCTGAAATAACTTGTAAAATTCACTTTGTATATTTGAAATATTAGAAAGTAAATATAAATAAATATATAAATAAATTATGTTCACCTTATTTCAGTTTGGTTCCATCTAGTGGTCAGATGTTGGTCAGTGTAGGAACTGTAGGAGCCGCAAATGTCCTGGAACTTCAATGATGAGAGTGGGAACAAGACTGAGGGGAAGAGGACATGATGAAGAAGCTCTTGAGGTGGTGGCAAAAGAAACCAAGGACTTTAAAAGCAGAAATGGAGGGTGGGATTGGGATCAGAGCAAAAGCAGAAGTGGGGATAGAAATGTTATACTCAAACACAAATTACTAAGTAGATGCAGTTTACCCATCCAATTAACAATGTTGACCCAAATCAATGTTGACAGAAGCAACGTTAAATGAGGGCTTACCATTGTTTTTCATAAATTTGGTTTTGTCCTTCATAGCAGTTTGCTGACATTTCTTTAATCAAAGCATTCTTCAAGGAAAACTGGCATCACTTTGTTTCAGTGACAGTGGCAATTTTTGATCTCAGATGTTTTGTTTGCTTAATATTTAATAAAGTGGTAGCTGGAGCAAATTTTGTAACTATGTATTTGCTTTTGGTTAAGAAACAATCAATTTAATTCTCAAACTTAAAAAGGCGTCCAGTATAACAGTGATAAAAGGGATAAGGTTGTGTTCACAGCATTTGGTCAGAAGAGTGTCATTTGCTTCCCTACCCCTTCTTTCCCAATTATATCATCCCAAAGGTCTGTACTTTTGCCTACTGTGGCATTGAAGTTGCCAACGACGATTAGTTTGTCCGCTGCAGGGACCCTTGCGAAAGATTGATCAAGGCTGGAGTGGAATGTCTCCTTGTCCTCAGCTGCTGTATCGAGTCTTGTTGCATATGCACTGGATAAATGCCACAACATACTGGTTCTGAGCAAGGGTGAGTTGGAGTATCATGAGGTATTCACTTATTTCACAGGGGGTGTCTTTGAGTTGGTCCACTAGTTCCTTTTTGATAGCGAAGTCGAATCCATAAATGTGGCATTCTTCTTCATCCTCACCTTTCCAGAAAAAGGTATAGCCACAACCTTGCTCTCCGAGCTGTCCTTCCCTGGCCCACCGGGTTTCACTCAGGGCAGATATGTTAATATCGTAGGGCCTGAGTTCCCAAGCAATGATAGCAGTGCGGCATTCTGGTCTGTCACCAGCAGGACTATCTATAAGGACTTTCCAAGCACCAAACTTCATCCTGAGGGTGTGGAAGGTGCCTGTGCGAGAGTTCCTTTAACGTAAGGAAAACGTTGCACAACGGTTACCAAATGGGTTTACTAGCACAAGGTCTTGGTCCAATGGCAAGGGGGGGATCCAAGACAACGGGAGACAAGGCACTGCCGTTTGGCCTTAGATTGCCTGCGGTGGAGTGCAGACCAACAGTTCAGCCCAACCTCCTCATCACCAACTGTTCCACCAAAGGGACAAATACATGACAACGTAGCAGCACCTGCACTTCAAACACTGGCACCTCCTTGACTATGTCATTGTCAGAGCGAGGGATCAGACAGACGTGAAGATCACCCATGCCATGACAGGAGGTAATGACTGCTGGACAGACCATCACCTGATCCAAGCCAAGATCAACATAAATTTAGTCCTGCCACAATGGAGACAACAGAAGCAGTGCCCCAAGAAGTTCAAAACTGAAGTACTCAAAGACCTGGAAAAGATAGCCTCATACAGCCAGCTCATATCTACAAACCTAGTGAACTTTGGCAACACTGAGTCACAGGATTCCAACAGCCTCTGGTCTGGCCTCAAGGCTGCCATCATCAATGCCTGCAAAAACTCACTCAGTTACTTAACCAGGAAACACCAAGACTAGTCTGACGAAAATGATCAGGAGATGCAAGAACTGGAAGCACATGGTATTGCTGAGATTAAAACAGCAACCACACTTGAAAGAGAAAAGGCAGACCTATAGGCAACTGAAGGCCAAGGTCCAACAATGGACCAACAACATAACAAATTGGTGATGGATGGAGAAAGCACCAGAGGTCCAACAAAAGGTCAACAACCACGATGTGCAGGGTGTCGTGTGTGCTGTCAAGATCACTCATGGACCAAA